GTGCCATGCGTGCGTGCGCGCGTGCGTGCGTGGCCGCGGCGTACAGAGCTGACGAACGCGCGTGGCGCATCTCTTTCGCGACTTCTCAGCACCCTCACGCGAGGTCCACGGGATGTAAACGTCATCGACAGCGCCAATGGCGATTTCTTTTCGGTCTATGATGGTGCCGCACACGGTTCGCTGCTGCGACCACTGCTGGACGGCTCTGCGTCGTGGTGGACGCAGTGTTTGGGTCACTCGGATGCGGGCATTGCTCGCGCAGCAGCAAGAGCAGCAGCTCGTTTTGGACACGTCATCTTCCCCAACAGCACCAACCTGCCGGCACTGCGATTGACAGAGGCTCTTTTGGGCACGCGAGCAGCTCGCGAGAGCAAGACGAAAGGGGGAGGAGGAGGAGGAGGCGAGAGGAGCCTGGCGTTGTTAAAGGCCGAGGATGCACCGGGATCCGGCTGGGCAGATCGCGTGTTTTTCAGCGATGATGGGAGCACGGGCATGGAGGTGGGCATCAAGATGGCCATTGCTTCTGCCGCGCTGCGATACGCTCCTCCTCGCGCGTCGTCGGCAACGCTTGAGCGAACGTCGAGAGCGCGGGAAAAGGGAAGTGCGGGAGGCAGCAGCAGAGCGACAGGAGAATGGCAAGTGTTGGGATTAAAGGGGTCTTATCATGGCGATACGATTGGAGCGATGGATGCTTGCGAACCTAGCACCTACTCTCAAGCGGTGCATTGGTATCGCGGAAGAGGAGCATGGCTGGATCCGCCAGCAGTGTCCATCATCGATGGCGAGCCGACGATTACGCTGCCGAGTGGCGAAAAGAGGCGATACGCTTCGCTATCGAGCGTGTACGATGTGGAAGAGCGTATGCGGACCGACGAGCTTTGGCGGCGATACACTACGGAACTGCGCGCATGGTTGGAAGGTTTGGTGCTGGTGGAAGGAAGACGGTTTGGAGCGCTCATCATCGAACCGTTGGTGCTGGGTGCGGGAGGCATGATCTTTGTGGATCCGCTGTTCCAGCGAGCACTCATCGATGTGGTCAGGGGAGCAGAAGACCTGTTCAGTCTGAGCGAACCACCGCTCAAGGATGCCAAGGTGGGCGCAAATTCCGACAGCTCAAGGGATGCGCACGAATGGCGAGGCTTGCCAGTCATTTTCGACGAGTGAGTCTGGCGTGCGCGCGTGTGTGCGCGCGCGCGCAGTCAGTGTCTTCCACATGCTGACTAGAATGTTTCTCGCGCGCGCGCGCGCGCACGCAGGGTGTTTACGGGACTTTGGAGGTTGGGTCACAGCACGCCGGCAAAGATTCTGCGCACGACGCCGGACATTAGCTGCCTGGCGAAGATTTTGACGGGCGGGTTGGTGCCGATGGCAGTGACGTTGGCCTCTCGCAGCATCTTTTCCACGTTCAATCAGAGCGAGAACAAGGCGGATGCGCTGCTTCATGGACACAGCTATACGGCTCATCCGGTCGGTTGCGAAGTGGCTTTCGAAGCGATTGCGAGGATATCGCACATGCAAAAGAGGAGCGAATTGTGGCGAGAAGCGCAATGGGATTGGAGCAGCGACGGGGAGAGGGAAACTTTGCACTCGCCTTCTTACGCACCCGTCTGGTCCTTTTGGAGTCGTGCGGCCGTGCAACGTCTTTCGCGCGCTCGACGAGTAGACAGCGCAATGACTCTCGGATGCGTCCTTGCCCTATCCATCCGAGACGATGTGGGATCGGGGTCAGGCTACACTTCCACAGCTTCGGTGGACATTGTCAACAAATTGAGGAGCGCCGCGCGATTGGGTGGTGGTGGTGGTGGTGTGGCGTTTGATATTCATGCTAGACCTCTCGGCAACGTCATCTACCTCATGTGTTCCCTCAACACGCCCGAGCTGGTCAGAAGAGAGGCGGAGAATGCGCTCATCGGTGCGCTCGAGGCGTAGGTCATCATATGCCGCATGTGAAAGATGATCCTGTCGCGCGCGAGCGTGCTCAATCGCCCCGGGCCGGTCCTTGTCTCTTGAAAGCGAGCGCGCCTCTCTCTAATCTAATGCTTCTTGTCCGCGCCTCCATCCGTTCCTGTTTTGCGAAGCAAGAAAATGCTGCTTGAGCTTTTCGAGTGAGGAAAAATGTGCTGCGCGATTGCAAAGCTGGCCAATTCTTAAAGTGAGATGCGTGCGCGCAGGGGGGGGAGAGACAAGTTACTCCTTGGTCAGCCTTCAAGCTGAGGTGCGTGCGTGGGTGCGTGGGTGCGCCCCCGCAGAATGGTCAACTTGCATTGTGCTCTGCTTCTGTTAGTGCCAACTGCACGGGGAGACGAAGGGTGTGAAGGAGAGGAGAGGAGAGGTGAGATGCGCGGGCATTTTCTTTTAATGCGAATGCGAATGAATGCCTCTCTTTTCCCCCTTTGTATCGTGTGCGCGGACACTGCCTCGCCTCTTCTGCAGCTGTCCAGTACTCTGCAGCAGCTCGCTTTGGACCTTCTTGCGTTTGATTATTCACTTTCGCTTTCGCTTGTGCTTGTGCTTGCGATCCTTTTTGCTTTTCGAGAGCGGTGGTAGGGCAAAGGCTTGATGGGGCTTGTTGATGGTCGCGCTCGCACTCGCATTCGCGCTTGGGTCGCATGATGGCGCTTTGCAAGTGAAATGGTCTGCTATAATGTGCTGCTCACGGAGATGTTGGGAGTGGGACGTTTGGACGCTGCATGACGGTAAGAGCCTGCATGGTGAGGAGGCCTGATTCTCCGTTGCTTATATTGCGGCGCAGTGCAGTGCAGTGTGAGTGCAGTGCAAGCTTCATCAACCTTATCATGTTCGGGTGGGTGACATTCACATTCACATTTGCGATTCACATTCTGTGCGCCACAACATCCATCCATCCATTCACGATTCGTCATTCTCCGCGAGGCGCGCCGCGGGAGCGCAGTCTGTGCGCGTCGCTGCTTGATCGAATCTTGTGCTCCACGAGTGCCACGACTGCTGTGCACCTAGATTACGCGTGTGATGAACATCTACAGTCGTGAGTCACGAGTAGTCATATGAGCTTAGGAGGGTATCCGTGCAGCACGTGGTAAGGATGAGATAGATAGATGTTGGCCTCGATCGAGCGTGCGCCAAGAATGTATACCCACGACTGCCATACGCGATGCGGTAGAGTTGAAGCTCACACCATCTTGTCGACCCATTGAGCACAGCAAGCACGCACTCACACTCTCAAAGTAACAGCTCCGTCGACGAATGATGAGGTGGGGAGAAGAAGCGTGCGGTTCGCGGCGTGATGCGGATGCGTGGGGAGGCGCTCGTGGCCCGGGGCGGCATGCTGAATCTAAATCGACATGCAAGGGCAGGAAGCACAACGATGCAGAACCTCGCTTTCCAAAAGGCGACTACTGGTGCCCTGTTCATCCGCTGCCCAGAGTCTTTAGCACATGTGCAGCTTTTTCTCAAAAGTCTTTGTCGTCGTCGTCGTCGTCGTCGTCGTCGTCGTCGTCGTCGTCG